ATTAAAGGATTCCTAGCCTAACTTAAATAAACGAAAATATTGCTTCATGTATGTAAGTGTATAATAATTCTACTTTGTCTATGTGGGATTCCACTGAAAATGTATATTTGTGTGAGCATGTTTGTGTGTATTTTAGACTTTGTGTGTATGTTTGCTGATTGTACGTTTTTATTGGAATTTTATTACATTCATAGCCTTTGTTGTAGAAAAAATATTTTAGATTCTTTAAGAATAGATTCTACCGATGTTGGTGATACGATATAGTGTTTTTGAGGTGTCCTTATAGTTTACAACATTTTTCCTTCGAAATAATTTCGACGTAAAAATTTTTTATACATATATATATATATATATTGAACAATAAAAAATATTAAAAAATTAAAATCTTCAGACACACTGGGTTGTAGATTAATATTCTTTCGTTTTATTATTATTATTTCATTTAGATTCCTCGACTAGTTTCGACCAAAATGGCCATCACCAGGAGAAGAAATATTTCTGCTTGCTGGTAGCAGTGAACTACAGAAATGAATGTCTTGATGGAGAAAATGAACTTTTGTCTGTAGTTTTCATTTGTTTTTTTTTTTTTTTATCTTTTTAACATGAATTTTTTAACATTCCTTCTGTTGGTCAAACAGTCTCTTTTAAGTTGTTATTTGAGATAAGAGCTGGATGGATCTATGCTTCTCTGAATCCCCTGGTCAGTTTGACAGTTTTATTGGTCCTGGAGAGGGGATGTGTCTCTGTTAAGTGTTTGTGTTATTTGGTTCTTAGGGAGTGAGTGAGTATGAGATGTGTAAGCATGTGTATTGCTGTGGGTGTGTGTTATCATTTGGCTCATTAGGGAGTGAGTGAGTATGATGTGTGTAAGTGTATATATTCGTGTGGGTGTGTGTATAAGTCTGAGGCCTCAACACCTCCATACGCATGTCTGTCTTGTGTGGGTTAGAAATGTGGGTAGGTTTTGATTTGTAAAGTTATATATTAGTACTATCAATATTGTTAAATTTATGGTTTAGCCCAGCTGGATATTGTTTTTAGACGTTGTATCCACTTATTTTCATGGAACTCAAAAACCTTTCTAATGTTATCTGTTCTGAACGTCTATTCTCACAATTATAGTGAATTTGGCATGGGTTTTGAAATTGTGTTTTTCCAGGCGGAAATGTTGTTCTGCAGGTAATAATTTTTCATGGAGAGTCGACTTAATTCGACTGCGATAATTATTAATTCTGTAGTGAAAGGACCATTCAGATTTTCCTACATATTGTTCTGGCATAGTGTGCATTCTAGGTGGTAAATTATGTTATGACTTCTACAGTTAGAATCGTGGTAGATTTTGAAAGTAGATTTAGTGATTGAGCTAGTGAATGAATTCATGTGTATAATATGGTAGCAGGATAAACTTCTTTTGTTGTTACATGGTCGGAAAAATCCTGTTGTTTTTGTTCTTAGTTTATTAAATGTGGTTACTACCTACGATTTCTTTAGGGTCTTAGGTCTACGATATGATAGAAGGCCGTGTTCCTTAAACAGTTTTTTTAGGTCTGGTTTGAGATGTAGTATTTCCCATCGACGTTTGATTATTTGGGATAGTGGAGGCAGAGTTGGGTTGAAAGTGGTTACTAGTGGGATGCGGCTAGATTTATTTTTAATCTTGTATATTAGGGTGTCTTCTCTAGGTGTGGAAATTGCTTTATTTATTTGTTCCCTGATTAGGTATTGTTTATAGCCACGTGTTGTGAATTGATGCTCCATACATATATATATATATATATATATATATATATATATATATATATATATGTGTGTGTGTGTGTGTGTGTGTGTGTGTGTGTGTGTGTTTAGACAGCAATCCTTCTTTCATGTACATTTCATTGAATAAGACTGACAAGGTGCTTTGAATTAGTTTTTATTAATTTCTCATGTCATCTAATATTTTTTTTTTTACTTTTCAGATGATAAATTATATAAACACTGTCCGAATGTTCTTTTTAACCGCGAGCTTTCGACTATACATTCAGCCATTTTCAAGGTTAAAATGTATTAACTGTTAACAAGAAATAGATTATTGTATGTGTGTATTTATATGTTTTCATTTTCAAAACACGATCAAGACATTGTGTCCATATTCATAGTTGATATTATTGAGTTGTTGTTTTTTTTGTTTTTATTAATAAGGCTTCCAGTATTTTAGCCTTTTTTTGTATGTAGATGATGCTATTATATTTGTTCTGTCAACAAGTATGCAATAGGTTTTTATATAATTTATCATCTGAAAAGAAAAATTATCAGATCACATGAGAAATTGTATAAAAAATCTAAATCAAGCACGTCTGTCGTTTCAATGAAATATGCATATATATATATATATATATATATATATATATATATATATATATATATATATATATATACGACGACGTGATCATATTTAAACGGAACGCTGATCTTATATAAAAAATTTCAGTCATCTGTTTGGATTAGTTGTGCTCTTATG